AACTCTAAAGTAGCTGCTCAAAAAATCCGATCTTTGAATCATGCGATCGAAATCCATTTCTTCATGACCAGATTCAACTCACTTCTTTCCTTTTAAGCTTCTTTTTTCTTTGATCCTGCAAAACACCAAATGTAATCTTATCACATTATGTATTAAGAATCCAAAAAAGAACTTAATAGAGTTAGATAGTGGATTTTACCTGAAGTAGAGTCATACATCTTGACTCTCCTATCTCTTAGATCTCTCAGGTAGTTAGGGCAGCTTCGTGACCAATGCCCCTTCTCTTGGCAGTAGAAACACACAGATTCTTTGGGAATAGCACAAGGGACTATCTCAGACTTAGCCTTTCTCTTGCGTAGAGAAGACTTTTCTGGACTTCCAATGTTGCTATTGTCCACAGAAGGTTGAGACATTGATTTATAAGACAAATTTGCTTGACCAGTCCGCCAGATCATTTCTGATTCAGCAGCAACAAGCAAATAAGTCAAATCAATGAGGGCCACATCTCGGTCCATCATATAGTACTCTCTAATGAACTCACTATATGATTCGGGAAGTGACTGAAGAACCAAGTCAACAGCCAGCTTCCTAGAGACATCGACACCCAACATTCCCAATCTATCAATATGCAACTTCATATCCAAGACATGAGCGCATACCGACTTTCCATCTTCGTGTCTCTTCGCCAATAGAGCTTGAGTGACCTTGAACTTTTCAAGTCTTCGAACATGTGGGTCAGGGAGAATTATAGGAGGTGGTGGAGGAAGTGAAGCATGATTTCCATTTCCACAATCCAATCGTGGAACATCATCTTCATGTGGAAAACTCTTTCCAACGAATTCAGGAAGACCATAGTTGTCAGACTTTGACATCTACAAAACGGGAGAAATTCAAGTTAGTTGATTGGGTCCTTAATAAAACACCCAAATGAAAATAACCATGCGAATGTACGAGGTGCCCTCAATGTTACAGTCACCTAATCGACGTGCCGGTTAACCACACACGCTCCATCGATCTATGACAAACATCACGTCACCCTTTGCTACCAATGCCAATCCCAACTTAGTGTGCCGGTTAACCACACACGCTCCAATAACTGTCTCGGCAAGGGTACAAAGTGTAATTCCATGGAATTGCATCAAATTCACTTTTCCTAAAGTAACTAAGATTTGGGAATTTATAAAAGCGTTTAGTTACTTCGTATTTGATTATACTTATAATGGAAGGGTGTGTCTATCCTACCCGTTCGGCTAACGACCCTCCACTAGTCAAGAGTGCGGTGGGTAAGAGTGGATACCCATTTAATCGCCATTTTATAGGCAATTTCCTTAAACATCCCTTAAAGACCAGCTTCGTGAATGAGGTCTACTAACGGTAAGAATGACGCTTTACTCATACATATATAATATGTTAAACTTTTTAAATGTTATATAGTATAAGGTGTATTTTACACTTTTAAAATACTATGTGGTCTAATTTAATAAATTATATTTTTAATTTAATTAAATGTAAACCAAATTATTATGGATTTATTAACTCTCTTTTAATTATACACTTAATTAACTTAATAAAACCATAAGGGTGTAATTTAAACTTTTCAAAAACTAAGGTTTTAGAATTTAATATTTTAAAATTAAACTTTTAATCAAAATTTTAAATTCCAAAACTTGAGGGCAAGTTTAGAACTTTTCAAAACATTAGGGTTTAGAATTTAAATATTTCGAAATTAGACTTTTTAATAAAAAATTAAATTCCAAAACTTGAGGGCAAGTTTTGCAACTTTTCAAAACATTATCAAGAACATTCTAGATCAAATTGCAAATAATAACAATTAAACAATTAATTGGTGGTTATCTAAATTTGACCTAATCCAATTTCTTGCAAGACAATTCATCAAATAATTCAAATAATCAAAATTTATCATATAAGGAAATAATAATTCAATTATATGACAATTATCTTCTATTTTGGCAAGGATAATCACATAATATCAATAAAAGTCGGATTTTATCAATAAAAACCGTTTATGGTAATTATCTATCATCAAAAACAGCCAAAATCCGAAAAAATCCTGAAATATCCTCTGTCTGACCCCTGGACTCGCCGAGTTCATCCACTGACTCGCCGAGTCAGTCATGCAGAGGACAAAAAAAATTCGAATTTCATGCCAAGAATGATCATACAAGCATCAAATACATCAAACAAACAACCTAGGCTTTGATACCACTAATGAGTTTTGAGCACTACAACAATCATATGGTGTACATGCAAAACCCTAAAGCTTTTGGATCTAGTTTGTCTAATGAACATGCAATAATCATCCAAAGCTTATAAACCATATATCTAGCATACAGTAATCGAATTAACATATGAATTAGGGTTTAGATCTTACCTTTCAATGGTTACAAGAGTTCTTTGATCTTCAAGAAGCTTAGTGTCACAAGGGCCACACCTCTAATGGCTCACAAACACCAAGAGCAAGAGAATGATGAAGAGGAGAGAGGATGAGAGGCACCAAAAACGTCTAAGAACCCTTAGGGATTACTTCCACACGTTTTTGGGGCCTTAGGGGTTCCTTATATAGTTAGGCTATTAGGGTTTTCAACCAGGAAACTCTAATCTGACTGCTTAGGCCCTAAGCAGCCCATGGACTCCTTCCTTAGAGGCCTTGGACGAATTCTAATGGGTTTCTCCATTAGGGATGTCAAAAACCCCCGTGGGCCCCCGTTCCCGTGGGACCCCGATACCGTACGAGACTAATTTCTTTAAAAATTCGGGAGCGGGAGCGGGGGCGGGGGCAAGATTAAACCCCGTTTATTTTCGGGAGCGGGATCGGGAGTGGGTATTTCCGTCTCGTACTCCCACGGGGGCCCCGTTTGTATATATAATAAAGAATATAAATTTAATATATAAATATATATAGACATATAATCTGACTTTTAGGTTTGTTTCTTGCATTTCCTATGGGCGCCGACAGAGAGAGAATGAGAGATTCATCTTCACAGCTTACACACACAGCTTCAGTTCTTCCTGCTTCCGTCTTGCCCCTTCACCTCTTCGTCTTCATCACACCCTCTTAGCAATCTTCGACTATCGTGCCTCTCTTTAGCAATCGAATGACCCAGTGTAGTCTGTAATTGTCGACCATCGTGCTTCTCGCTTCTCGCCGTCACCCTCTGCCGCTTGCTTCAGTCCGTTTGTCGCCGTCCTCCTGCCGACGACCTAATTTCAAATCTACCACTCCATATCTGGTAATCTAGACTTATGATTTTTAGTTATATGTTTTTAATAATCGATTTAGGCTTCTGATTTGTGGTTAGATATATTGATAATGTAATATTTTGTAATTTGTTCTAGGTTATGTATTGATCTTAGAAAATAACAGTCGACGTTGATCCATGTCGTTGCTTCACCCGTAATTGCAATGTTGGCATCGGTCCCCTTCAGCGACATTATCTTCATAACACCATATGACTTCCCTTTGACCATTATTTTTTTTCCTATCTTTAGTTGTAAATGTTAATGGAGGAGTTTATAAACTTTTCAGGATCTGAAGTTTGTCAAGTTTTTAGAAAGCTACAACAAGGACAAGATATCAAAAACTCAGGACATGGTAAGAGATCATTCTTTAATATGCATTTTTTGTCGATCACTAACAAAATTACTAAAATACCCTTTGTAACAGTATTTTTATGAATACGAGATTGCTGAAGATCTAACAGGGTTAGATGATGATGATTCTGCTACAACCAAACACAATCTGTTGACATGTTCATTAATCAATTCATGGAGTAAATCAGTTAAAAAGAAGATCATAGTGAGTCAGCTTTGACTAGTCTTGTAAATGCATATCGAGCTGCATGCCCCCTTGGACATGAAGAAACCGAATTCATAATTAAAGACAATGAGACCTTCTGTAACATATATACATTCATGCTTTCTGAAGCTAATAACACATTTAGGTGTTTATTAAAGATTCCTATGAGGAGTACATTATTTCTTTTGAAGCACGTCACTGACTTGGAGATTTTAGCTTTCTCAATTACTCGATTGAGAGCATCCATTATATTTTTCGCTGCTTTTCCTTCTTTTCTGAACAGGGTTATTCAGGTAATTGGTTTTTTGTTATACTAATGATGCTACACATGATTATAGGGAGTAAATGGTGAAAATGGTGCTATTTTCGAGTAAAATGGTGTTGTATTTTTTATCAGTTCTATGAACTTGATTTATGTCTTCATGTCTTCAGCTGTCTCTTGGACGTTTTGAATAGTGTTGTATTTTATATTTGTAATGTTGGATTTATAATTTTTTGTTGTATTTTATATTTGTAATGTTGGATTTATAATTTTTATAAGATAGGATTTATTTTGTTACATCAAAATATTATATGAAAAATAGAAAAACTTATAAAATGACATTTGAAAAAAAAATAATTCAAAATAACCAAAAAAAATGACATTTAGCAAATCAAATGAAAATAATAAATTAAATAAGAATGTAATATGTGGCGAAAAACTCATAAAATACAACCTTATCATATGTGATATATTCCATTAGACATTTTCCAGTAGCCATGTTACAAGAATAGTCCTTTTATGAGTTTGCATGTGAGTGATGTTGCTAACGAGAATAATTATAAAATTTGATTCTTGCAAAGAAAAAATATGGATTTGGATTTCTTGTAGATTTTACATATTTTTATATTATATGAAATTATGCGAGGAATAAAGTAAACCCTCGACCCCTCGTTCCTCTTTTGAGGACGACTAGCTACGCACTGTGATTTGGAGGAATAAAGTCACCCCTCACAATGAAGACACGTATAATTGAGTGGGAGCATGCAGCAATCCACGTGTCAGACTTCATTCTACTACGTGCATAATCAGCGTGCTTATCTCTTACATTCACCGAAGATCAGAGAGATTCTACTCTTGTTTCTCAAGAAACCCTTTTCAAAGAAATAGGCAGATCTGAAGAAAATAACACACAAAGACAAGATGATGAACATATTAGCTCTGGGTCTTGTGCTAACGTCACTGGTTACAGGGGCGATGTGGTCACCTCCTTCCCCTCCGTCTGACCACAGCGAGGTTATTGTGAAAGAAGGCCACCGTGTGGTCGTTGTTGAATACGAAAAAGAAGCCGACGGCCACACCAAGGTGTTAATTTCACCACAAGATACCTCTAATGCCTCCGGCGAGAAGAAGCAGAAGCAGGCGGTGGAGGAGGATGAAGCGGATCAAGGGAAGTTCTCTGGTCCAAGAGAGCTTGTTTGTGATGCTTTTGGTAAGTGCAAGCATAAGATTGCACAAGCTCTTGGGAAAACAAAAGACACGGTTTCGGAAACAGCCCATGGAATGGAAGAACATGCGAAGGATGCTGCGAGAGGGGCCGTAGGAAAGGCCAAAGATGCAGAAGAACGTGCAAAAGAGGCTGTGAATGAAGTATATGAGAAAGGCGAAAATCTCAAAGACAAATTATCTGAAAAGGTCACGGGCCATACGATTGGAGAGTCTTTAGGCAAGGCCAAGGACAGCGTGGCTCATGGAATCGGTAAGGCGAAGAAGGTCGCAGAGGATGTTGTGGGCACTGTAAAAGATGGCGCTCTCAAGGTAAAAGACTTCGATGTAGTGGATTCACCAAAACGAATAGGAGAAGATATACAGAGAAACGTGACAGGGAAAGTTGAAGAAGGTGCTCAACATATGATGAATCAAGCCAAGGAAACTGCAGGGAATGTGCAGAAGGTGGGGCAAAAGAGTTTCGGTGAAATTCTGAGCAAGTTAAAAGAGGTGACATATGATGTATTATGGTACATGGTGTCTCCTGATAAGGTGGATGCAGTGATTGGGTTGATTCATATGCTGGGGTTCTCAACCGCATACGGTATGTGCGTGTGGGTGACCTTTGTTTCAAGCTATATTTTGGGGAGGTATCTGCCACGTCAGCAGTTTGGGATGGTACAAAGCAGGATATACCCGGTGTACTTCAAGACCATGGCTTATTGTGTTTCCGCTGCTTTGTTAGGGCATGTAGCGAGTCAAACGAAGCAGATTTTCTCCAGCTTGGGGGAGATGTTTCAGGGTTTAAGTCTACTTTCTGCCCTCTTGATGGTTTTGACAAACATGATCTGGTTGGAACCTAGAGCAACTAAGGTAATTATTTAAATATATATGAAAAATGCATACATATCCTCCTCATCTATGGCTCTTCAAGTTATTGATTTTACTTGCAGTTGATGTATGAAAGAATGAAGATAGAGAAAGAGGAAGGGAGAGGCATAGCGGGTGCAGCTAAAGAGGGGATAGAAGATGCAGGTGGTACTACGGTGGCCAGACCTCCAGCACATATAGTAGCGGAGAGGGAAGATGTTTTGAGGTTGAACGAGAAGCTCAAGAGGTTGAATACATACTCATCTGCCTTCAATGTGTTGACGCTAGTGGGCCTCACGTGGCATATGGCTTACATGGGCCAACGGCTTCAAGCTACACGCTAGGCGCTTTCTACTTTCTACTCCTGGGGGTTGTTTGTATAGTTTCTAGTTATTGTTTTGTTCATCATTTCAATATGTATCTTTAGTTAATTTCCACTACTTTTGTGCTTTCTTTGTAACCTTTGCTAAAGTACATTATTATAAATGGAAAAAAAGCGTTTAATGGTCAATTTAAAGGATTTTGCAAATATATTTAAAACACGAATATCTATAAAATGTTTAGCGGATCAGGGGCAACTTCACTTCATTGTAGGTTGATAGTACTATAACTCTCTATGCTGATGTTAAAGGACCACATATCTCATGATTTGTATCCCCCATTCCGTTGCTTTGCTTGGGCCTTGGAGTGTATTTCCGTACGTAAAGTTGTTATTCTTCCCGTTAATGGTTGCCTAGTAACAATCAAATATATAAATTAGGGAAAGTTGCAAAAATTAACAACATATTTTACTTTTGACTTTTAATTACGTTACGGATAAAAATTTTATCCATGAGAAAAAAAAAATAACTAAGTAAAAATATCCTCCTTAATAAATGAAGGTTTTTTTTGTCAAATGTCTATGAGTTTTGACACTTGTCATTTTGTGGTATTTTTGAAATAAATATTATCTACTTGTCAATTTTTGATTTGTTTCAATTTTTAAAATTAAAGTCATATACTTATATATGTAAAGTATTAAATATCATATATATGATATTAAATTGCAATAAATACGTTTCTTCCTTTTCTTATTTTAAAGTTGTACATTAAAAAATATTTTATGTTTACACTTTAATTTAATGTTTAATTTTTTTTAAATCAACCCGTGTAATACACGGGTCTCACACCTAGTAATAATAAGAAATGGAAGTGTGATGGTATATTAGATAATAAAATGAAAGTATACTACTATTTATTGTGTTTGGCCCCTAATTGGGTAAGAAAAAGCAAGGTTCTTTCATTTTATTTTATTGTATAACTAGTTGGGAGACTCGTGTATTACATGAGGTAATTTAAAAAAAAATACTTATAAAGGTCAAAATATCTGGAAACTTTGAATTTATAAGAAAATAAAAAAAAATAACGAGTTATTATAATAGAAATGTTTTTTATATTTTAAATTTAAATAAATAAAAGAAACTAATGAGCTCAAATTTTGAGAATTTTGAAATTAAAAGGTAAGTTCATTAATAAAATTGATATCTATTTATTACTATATTTATTATAATTATTACATTAAAATATTATATGAAATTTAATAAAATAGAAAAACTCATAAAATAACATGTGGAAAAAATTAATTCAAAATAAACACAAAATAACGTTTGATAAATTGAATGAGAGTGTGACAAGTGGCAAAAAAACATTCATTTATTAAAGAGGATATAACATCTTATTATTATTATTATGCTAGAACTATGTACATTGATATTAACACTTAATCCGTACTTCGGAAGTTTCAAAAAAAAAATCGAAGTACAAACATAATATTTTAGCATCCTAGTTTTTTAGTTTTAATTACAGATTACGTTCTACCTACAATAACATTGTACTTTCCAAGTATAATTGTTTAATAAAAATGATAATCTAAAAAAAATGAAAATACAATGCTAGAATTCAAACAAATTTCAAAGTATAAAACATATTAAAGTACAATGTTATAATTGGGGTTCTACTTTCAAAATATACCCATCTTTAGCTTTGTACTTTTTTAGTACAATTCTTTAATAAGGAAAAATGTTACTTTGAAACATAAAAATAAACTACAAGCAGTGGAAATTAAAGGACACGTGAACAAATTTACGGTAAGTGTTTTATTTTTATTAGAATGTTTACATAAAAATAAACTACAAGTAGTAGAAATTAACATCATAAAAATGGATTGCATAATTAATTCGGATTGGGATATGAAATTTTCGGATATCCTATATCTGATATCCGAAAATTTTAATTTTTTATTAGTTTATTATTGTAAAATGGTTATTTTTAAACGAGTGATGTTTTATTTTTATTAAAATGTTTACATAAAAATAAACTACAAGTAGTAGAAATTAGCATCATAAAAATGGGTTGCATAGTTAATTCGGACTGGGATATGAAATTTTTGGATATCCGATATCTTAATATCTGATATCCGAAAATTTTAGTTTTTTTTATTTGTTTATTATTATAAAATGGTAATTTATAAACGAGTGTTACTATTATGGATGTTAATACTTAATATTACATATTTAATCACCTTTTTTTTAATCTATCAGTGTATATATATATATTATAATACCCCATTTTATGTTAGCCCATTTGTATCGTATAGTTAGCCCATATATATATTACTTGGTGTATGATAGCTTGTATTTTGTATATATTCTATGGTTTACGAAGATTATGTTCATGGGAAATTATTCTCTATCATGATATCAGACTAATTCAAAATCCTGCTTTCCTTTCCCCCCCTTCCATTTGATCCTGTTGGCGTAACCCTAGTTGCTGCTGCCACCCTCATATCTTTTCCGCAATCGTCATAATATTCTCTCTTCTTCTCTTCTACAATGGTTAGTGAAACGTCTAATGCCTCCAACCAAAAGTCATATGGTGTCATCAATATCAAGACCTATGTTGCCATAATTCTTGATCTTAATGAACTAAATTACAATACATGGGGGGAATTGTTGAAACCCATTGTCGTGGTTTCAGTGTTTGAGATTTCCTCACCGACGACTCTCAACCCAAAATCGACAAAGATGAAGAATGGTTCAAGCTTGACTCCGCAGTCAAAACGTATTCGATGAAAACCCTTGTTGCTCACCTCCTCAACGGTCTCTCTCTACAATATGAACATATTGCTACTCTCCTTTTTTGATTAATAGGCACAATATAAGATCAATTTATGCATAAACATGAAAAACCCCAAATTAATTAAAGAATACTTACTTGAAGGGATTAACATATTCGATGATGTTGATGATATATTACTTTGCTCTTTCACTTTACATAATGGTGTCCAATTGATCGATTCCGATTGATGGAATTACACACATTGTTATGGTGTTTTATAGAGAGGTTGGAGAAGATGAAAGGAAAGAAAATGTAATCTCTTGGACGTTCCATCTCTTAAATGTGTGATTAGTTAATCAATTACACCTTATGAGAAAGTATTAGAACCATACATATTTGGTCCCTCAACTTATGGACAAACATCATATCCATCATACTACACATAATTAATCCCAGGGACCTGGCATGCCCTATGGAAAATATTATGATACATAATGTAATTGCACCCAATACACAAAATCATTATAAAAATAGTCTGATGGCCAAACTAACGGGTTATCTTCCAATATTCTCCCACTTGGTCGAGTGACTATTTGTATGCATGTTTTGTTATCTTGGCCAAGTTATATTCATCTTGTTTCATATTAACACCAAACGTAGAAAAATACAATCTAACATGTCGTTTTGAGACACAAGACCCCCACCGATCATACTTCGATTAATTTAAGCCAAATGATTTTAAATATTAAGTGGTGATGCAGTACATTTGTCTATATAAAAAGTAAGTGTGCACAAGTTAGTAATATAGACAAATAGCATGTTATGGAGGGATAATTATGTAACACCCCATTTTTCTCCTTACAGACGAAAATATATGTTTTTGATAGATGATTATTTAGGATAAATAGTCTTGAAAAAAATCATAGTAATCGCAAAACCGAGAGTGTACCTATATAGAACGTCTAAATATAACTTCATAAGATGAAATTATGATTTTTAGAAGTTTCAGCATAGCAACGTACGACACTAAAACCAAAATAAAGATTGGTCGATTGTTAGGAAAAACAATCTAAACAATAGTTGAAGATCTTGTCCATATGATTCTGTCGATATAAAGACAGTCGAGAACGGAATTCATATCAGAGAGTTATTATTTTTATACGGGAATTAACAGTCTATGTCTGTTAAAAATATAGCTTTAAAAATAACATGAGAATTAGCCAACGAGGTCTAAATGAAAGTTGTAGATCTCGTCGATAACTATGTGTAGATATAAAGAATGTCGAAAACGAAGCTCGTATGAAGAAGATATGAATTTTTGAAGAACTATTAAATTTGCACGCGTGCCGGCGTGCACAGACCAGGCGCACAACTTGCACTAACAGACCAACCAAATTTCGTCACGTGTCACTTTCTGCATGGAGCCACGTCAGCACCCCCGACCAAGTACGCGGAACGCACCCGACCACGTGCACGTCGTGCATCGTAAAATCAACTATAAATATGCGACAATTTTCATTCGTTTCTTTAATCCCTTTCCTACAGAACCTCTTTGGAACTCCTTCGCGTTTCATGACCTTTTTTCTCTATAAATTCTCGACTACATTAGCAAATATCTGAGGCAGTGAGCCGGGCAGATAGAAGTACTCGGTGTCAAGGTCCTGCCTGCAACTTTTTGGGTTTTCTTCGGAAATTCTCTGTAAGTGAAGTTACGTTTAATAGATAGCTCATATCCGTAATTGAAGTCGTTATTAGGAACCAATCAATGCTAGATTCGCATTAAATTCCAAGTTATAATATCGATTGATCTAATTACGAGAGAGGTGTCTAGAAGGGTCATATTGGCTTGATTGTTGGATTTCAGAAAGCCTATATACCGAAATGGTCCTGCCTCCTAACTGATTGGTCTGGCTAATCCTTCATAGAACTCTCAGTATTCATTGGGATTAGTGAAATATCTAGTTTTCATTACTAATCTTCATAGAAATTAATAGGTTAATACTTGTTCGGTGCGTTATTCTCCAGTAGAATCGCCCAGATAGCTGTCAATCTTCCGAGTCATTTTCCAGGTGAGTTATCTCACTATACCATGTAGTACAATATATATATATATATATATATATATATATATATATATATATATATATATATATATATATAGAGAGAGAGAGAGAGAGAGTAGAGTTGGTAGTATAATCTTTATGTGCTTAACTGTGAACTAGTAGAGTAGAATGTATAAAAGTGCCTG